CCATCCCGCGGGGTGCGCGGCTGGGGGCCTCCTCGAAGGGCCCCGACCCGTCACGCGCCCGCGCCCGGCCCCGGCCGCGCAGCCTCGCGCCTGAGGAGGTGTCCAGCTGCACGGCAGGCCACGCCTCGCTCTGACCCCGCCCGCCCGAGAAGCCCCTCCTGTTCTACGAGCCAGGCTCCGCCTTCCCCAGGCCCCAACCTCCCTCCAGCAGTGTCTTCTCTTGTGGCCCGCCCCTCTCTGCCAGGCCCCGCCCCCCGGGGAGCCCAGCGGCGTTCCCTCGCCAGGCCCGCCCCACGCTGGCCCCGCCCACTAGGGAATCCCAGCGGCGTTCCCGCATCCTGCCCCGCCCGCCCTCCGGCCCCGCCCACCTGAGAAGCCGAGGTCTAGCAGCACCGCTCGGCGGCGGTCGCGGACGCTGCTGATCTGCTGGAAGCGCACGTCGAGCAACAGGAAGGCGGCGCAGGCGAGGAAGGCGCCTAGGCCGAGAGCGACGCCGAAGCGGCAGGCGCCTGCGTTCCCGTTGAAGACGCAGCGCAGCTCGGGGCCGCTGTCGTTGTTCACGTAGCCCTCGTTGACGATGGGGCCGAAGACCGCGATGGAGAACACCTGCGGGCGGGCGGCGGCGCTCAGCGGCCCTGTGGCGTCCCCTGCTTACCCCACACCCCAGCGCGAGGCCTCACCGCGAGCTGTCCTGGCTTTCCCCTGCAGCACGGGCCCATCTCTGAGTGGGGGTCTTCGGGCACCCTCCCTTACCCACGCCTCACACATTTAATAATTACCGACAACATGTAGCATTTACTGTGCCCCAGGCACTGAGCTAAAACCGCTGCTTTCCATGCATTCGTTCATTGAATCCTCCCAAATACCACCAGGGTGCAGTTGTTCTTATCCCCTTTTCTTTTAGGTGCAGTCTACTCGCTCAACTCATAGCGACATTTTGTACAACGTAAGAGGCGGAAATTCGGGCTCCACCACGTGAAGTGACTTGTCCAGGGTCACCTGATAGAGCTGGGGGGGGGG